ACACATGGGTCATAAAAGACTTACCTGCTGGTAAACATACAATAGGTTGTAAATGGGTCTTTAAAATTAAATATAAGTCAGATGGTTCTATAGAAAGGTACAAAGCAAGATTAGTATCTAAAGGTTATACACAAGAGGAAGGAATAGATTATTTTGATACTTTTTCTCCCGTTGCTAAAATAACCACAGTTAGACTTCTTCTTGCTGTTGCATCTATCAAAAATTGGCATGTGCATCAATTAGATGTTAATAATGCTTTTCTACATGGTGATCTTCATGAGGAAGTTTATATGACCCCACCCCCTGGTTATTTGCCTAATTCTATGCATGCTTCTAAGGTTTGTAAATTGACCAAGAGTCTATATGGCCTTAAACAGGCTTCTAGACAGTGGTTTCAAAAGTTAACCACATGTTTATTACACTATGGATTCAATCAGTCCATCTCTGATTGTTCATTATTCACAATGCAGCCTATTAATCATTTTCTTGCATTATTGGTATATGTGGATGATATTATTCTGGCTGGTAATGATATGAGTCAAATTCTTGCTATCACAACTCATTTGGATAATTACTTTACAATAAAAGATCTTGGCCAACTTAAATACATTCTTGGCATTGAGGTTGCACATTCTGAAAAAGGCATAAATCTATGCCAAAGAAAATATGCCTTGGACATACTCTCTGATTCTGGTATCTTAGCAGGCAAGCCTGCCAATACTCCTATGGATACAAATCTCAAATTAACATCTTTTTCTGACAAAGGAGAGAAATCCATTGATCAAACTTCTTATAGAAGGCTAATTGGCAGATTATTATACCTAACAATTACCAGACCAAATATTTCTTATAGTGTGCAGGCCTTAAGTCAACACATGAGCAATCCAACTGAAGTTCACTTGGCTACAGCACATAGAGTTCTCAGGTATATAAAACAGTCTGTGGGACAAGGTATTCTCTTCCCTAGAAGTTCTTCTTTGTCCTTACATTGTTTTTGTGATAGTGACTGGGCTGGGTGTGTTGATTCAAGGAAAAGTATCACTGGTTATATGTTTTTTCTAGGGAATTCTCTGATTTCCTGGAAATCTAAGAAACAACCCACAGTTAGCCGGTCCTCTGCAGAAAGTGAATATAGAGCTTTGGCTTCTGCATCTTGTGAAGCTCAATGGCTTCTATATTTACTTTCTGACTTAAAAATCTCACATCATTGCTTAGTGTCTGTTTTCTCAGATAGCAGGTCGGCCATTGCTATTGCTCACAATCCTATATTCCATGAAAGGACAAAACACATAGAGATCGACTGCCACCTAATAAGGGAAAAGATCTCTAAGGGCATTGTTCAACTAAGCCATGTCTCTTCAAAGGAGCAAGTGGCAGATATCCTCACTAAAGCCCTTGGTCCTCAACCTTTTCACCATCTTCTGTCCAAAATGAACATGACCAACATCCATGCCCATTTTGAGNNNGGGGGGGGGGGGGTAACAACTATGTAATTGGTCTTTTCATTATTAGTTTGGGCCTTTCTCTTATTAAATTGTATTTAGGTTTATTGTATTGGGCCATTTCTACATTATATTGTATCAGCCCAATAGGTGTTATTATCCCTAGTATAAAAGGGATAACTTAGGGTTTTGGTACAACACTTTTTACTTTCTCTCTTCAGTTTATCGAGCCGCTTTCCCTTTTCTCTCTAACATACAGAACATCTTGTTCTATCTTATACAATGAATTGTTGATATTGTTGATCATAATATCAACACAATCCAACCAAATCCAACCTAATAATTAAAAGTTATTTCATCTCCTCCACATACACAACACAATCTTTTAACCTAATTTATCTTTATCCCAACTCAACTCAACCTAAATATTTATTTTATTTTAATTTATTTAAAAATTACAATTGCGTTCTAAAATATATCAAGTGTGGTCTCTATTTGTAGAGAATAAAAAAATATGAATTTTCATATTTTTTTTTTATTTTTTTTAGAAACCAATAAAATACACTTGTTCAATAAAAATGAGACAAATGTCTTAAAATTTCCCCACAACTAGTTGTGACCCTAGGTCACATTGTGACCTGGGTCACGCAATTTTCCTGATTTTTCTTTTTTTTTTCTTATTTTTCTTTTATTTTTTCCTGGTGACCCAAACCAAACCTAAGATTTGAACAAGTCCGTGTAAATTTGGAGCTTTTAAAATTATACAATAATAGTATAAATTAAAATTTTATTCCCAATTTAATATTTTCTATCCACTTTAATATATTACCCAATTTAATATTTTCTATCCACTTTTAATATTTTCTATCCACTTTTATATATAAAAATAAAGTTTCTATCCACTTTTATATATA